GCTTTTTCCTGTCCCTTCCATGGATCTATCAATAATTACCTAGAACCAATTTTTTTCTAATAGATCCCTATTTTCCATTTTTTTTCCCCACACTTCTGTTGTCCTAGCAAAAAGTTTGTTAACTGCTGGTGAAATCACTACACAGCAGATTCCTATCGGCAGATCGTGCACTGTTTCAAATTATCGTTCCCAATTTAGTTGCAGCAAACATAGAATAAGTAGCACTCTATGTCCTCCATATGTGTTATTATAACAGTAGACTGAAGATTTTAAAGTCCAAAGCCATCTAGATGCTTAACTATAACCTCAAGAGAAGGGACCAATCTTCAGATTATAGTTGCAACAATGAGAAGAAAAAAAAATTCGACCATAATGAGCATGTGGGGGATTCTTATGACTGTGCCTGGAATTTACTGACTAGGAACTCTTCCCATAAATGGTGCATCCTCCATGTAATTTGAAGAATTTACAGGCAAACCATATTCTATGTTTTAATAATGGCAGAGCATTGAGGACCATTCTACATCTACATCTATGTTGTCCTCTCATTATTTAAATCATACACAAGACTGAAATTCTAGGTGAGGTCTAAACTCCTTTCAATGACTTTGCTAACAGCCCCAACACACAGACACTCAATTACCCTTTTACAGTTTGTGTAGGCTTTCACTCCACACACTTTTATAACTGTAAATATTCTCAGGTACTCTTAATTTTCCATGTGTTTTTAAGTACTCTGTTTTTAAGTAGGATTAAAAAAAATTCACCCACCTTCACCTTCAGTGTAATATTAGTCACCCATAAATAATTTATTTAAATTCCATTATATAATTAGTACATATCTACTACTCACACTAATAATTACTTGGAGTTATTATGGAGAAATGTTAACATTTTAAAATATTTGAAGTTTCTGAAGGAAAAGAGAAGGAAATAGGAGTTCTTCCCATTATGCCTCATCTCTTTCACCTTTAAAATCTTTATCAATAATTTAGAGCATAGCATTTGTCCTTTCCTCTTGTACTAATGCATTACATTGTAGCCTAGTGCCCTCAAATGTCAATGTGCCTCTCTAAGATATAAAATTAGCAACAGGGGCTTAGACAATTTAAAATTTGAAAGTCTTAAAAAGTATAATTAAACACAGGTGTGGAAGGTTAAGCCATCACTTTTGGAGAAAAATTTACTTCAGCCTTTAATAGAAGACATTGGTAGTACTTACACGAAAACCATATTCTGGGCTAAAAAGGCAAGAAAAACATGAAATTCCCGTGTATTTTTTCTTCCTTAATTGCTCAATAGCCATTTTTTCAAATTGATTCCATCATAACCATGCAATTTAACATTTTTAAAATTTTAATTGATTTTAATATTGCAAGTGTCTTAACTGGTTCATTGCTCCCAATGGCATTACAGAGATATATCTCAATAAAGGCTGTTGCTATATTAAATCAGTATATCAATACACCTTACATTAAGAAGCAAGAGCCTTAGAGAATGTATGAATCAAAGCAGAAAGAAAAATGGTTGCTGAACTTCATCTTTCCTAAAACAAACACATTAATGGAAAAACATCATAAAAAGTATTTTTTGTGTGCTGAGGGATACATAAAACAAAAATGCATCGCAGAGTAAATATTTCCCTTCCATATATTGATATAAAGCACTAAAATATTTTCTCCAGGGCAGGAAATTCAAATGCTTACATCAAAATAATGCATAAAGTATGTGAATAAAAAAAGTGAAGACCCTGTTTATGACAATCACTTCCTCAATAAATGAAGAAAGTAACTGTAGTACCTGTTTTTCTCACAGGGATATAGACAGTTCCAATTTATGACTTGCTTAGGCTCAAAATTGGTATGTAAGGAAATCTGTAGGCCTTTGATTGCACTTTCACTTACAGGTTAGAAGTACTGGTTTATGAACAGAATCTCCAAAGACAGACAATGTATTCCTGATCAAGTGAAAGCATAATACAAATTACACTACCCTATGTTTTAATCAGGGTTTACTGAAGAAAAATGCTTAGCAAAAGAAAAAAAAAAGGAAAGAGGAAGGAAGGAAGGAAAGGGGAAGGAAGGAAAGAAGGAAGGAAGGAAGGAAGGGAAGGAGGGAGGAGGGAGGAAAGGAAGGAAAGAAGGGAGGAAAGGAGGGAAGAAGGGAGGGAGAGAGGAAGGAAGAAAGGAAGGAAGGAAGGGAGGGAGGGAGGGAGGGAGGGAAAGAGGGAAGGAAAAACACTTTCTATGCAAAACTGCATCTGCAATTGCCCTTCTACTTATTGTGACTCTGATAATGATAACAAGATTAAATATCTACAATCTATTTTCAGATAGAATACTTCCCACACTTTTTTCCCCTCATGATGCCCAGTTGTACTGGCATTATTTTATTTATGAGAAAATGCTTGATTTGAATAAGTAACATGCTCAACTGCAAAGGGTGGAGCTGTGTTTGTCTCGAGTCATTAACAGGCTTATTATTAACTGGCTATGCTGTTGTGAATAGGAGACTAGTCTCTATCCGCTGATTGATGGAGTTGACAGAAAATAAGGCTCAAGTGGAACTGAGAAAATCTTTCCTTGGAAAACATGTATTCCTATGGTTGTCGTTCAGTGATGACTTACATGACCATACTAGGTGGAACAGAAATTGGTGCTGTGAGCACAATTTTGCCAAAGTATTCACATAAGTGCTCCCAGAAACTGTGAGACCGTGAGGGTGAGAGAAAGGGTAAAATTCTGCCCCTAAGACTAAGCAAATAAAACAGACCAAAAAACCCCACAAAAAAAAAAAAAAACAAAACAAAACAAACAAACAAAAAAAAAAAACAAAGGAGAAATGGCTGTGTGTTGGAGGGATGGCAACAGCCATGAGAGATATTGAATATTGGTTGTAATAGTGCTTCCAAAAGTTGTATGAGAGATGGAACACACAGTTATAAACCAAGCAAACATGGACAGTTTTTATTAAGAATGTGTAATAGGGAATTGTTTCAAAATGAAATGTATTTTAAATGTAGGGTGAACCTTCTCCAGGTAAAGTATTGATATATTTAATGCTTTCTATCAATATATGGAAGATAAATACTTGTTACTGTAGTATCAGGGAAAAAGTATTAGGTTTATGTATCTCTCATATTTTTATTTATATCTAAAAGTTGTTAATTTAAATTGTTAAAAAAACATGTAAATAAGGAAATGCCATGTTTTAATGAATGAAATTGGTGTTAATTTCAGATCGATAGATAAGAGCATGTTTCAACATGGGAAAAGAAAGACCATGAGGCCAGTAAAAGGAGGAAGAGTTGTTGTGGTTGGAGTAAAGCGTGTGGACTGTTCACTTAAACAACTAGGTTGTATTTGTATGATCTGTGTGTGCTTTTTAAATGGCGAAAACTGTTGAGAAAATTGTACAATATATTACATAATTACCATAGAACCCTAATAGGTTGCCTTATTGCAATCATTTTGTAAATGAAGTTGCTAGCTAGTTAATGGCAGAACTATAATTTAGAACTAGTACTTAGAAATTTTGTAGCTCATGGTCTTGCAACTGTATCATAAAACTGCAGGGAACATTTCTTTATTAATAGCTCAGACATCATACAGTAATTATTTTAAAAATACCAAAATAAAACCAGGAGTTGGTCAAGAGCCAATACTTAAGAAAAAGAGTCAGTCTTCAAAGCTAAAGGTGGAAAATACAGTCATTTTGCTCATCAGTAAGAAAGAAAGCAGAAGCCAGGGTACGTAATGATCAGTCCAAAGGATTGGATGAGATTCAAGGTCAGGACTGGCTGGACAAAATGAAGAGAAAGAAAAAAAATGGCACGAGAAAAGACATAGTTCAACCCATTTCCAGTGGAAGGTATCTTGATATTGGATTCTACATGTTTATTTGTATTTACTTACCTACTGTGTGCAAATTTTTAAAATATATGTGTGTATGCACATTTATGTTTATAAAAGTTTCCCTCTAAGCTTGAAAATTATTCTAAGTTTTTATTTGTACTTCTGAAAAGTCTTATAAACAACCCTGGTCTGCTCTCATATCTCCAGAGTCTGATTTGGGGTAGAAAAATGCCCTGATTTTAAAGCATGCTATCTATTTTATTTTTTTATTTTTATTTATATATTTATTTTGAGACAGAGTTTTGCTGTGTCACCCAGGCTGGAGTGCAGTGGTGTGACCTCAACTCACTGCAACCTCTACTGCCGGAGTTCAAGCGATTCTCCTGCCACACAAACTGCAGAGTAGCTAAGATTACAGACTCATGCCACCACACCCGGTTGATTTTTGTATTTTTAGTAGAGACAGGGTTTCACTGTACTAGCCAAGCTGATCTCGAACTCTTGACCTCTGGTGATACACCAGCCTCCACCTCCACAAGTGCGGGAGTTACAGGCATGAACCACCACGTCCGGCCAAAAGTCTGCTATTTAAACCTCCACGACTTTCTTATTTGGCTCCATTCTTTGTCTTTATTCACATATTTTATATCATTCTTTCCATATCATATATATAAATGCAAATTAACTGTTTGCATTTCTTAAAATATGCCTTATGTTTTATAGTCTCTGTGACTTAGCTCAAACTATTCACATCAGTAATGTCTGTCTCGCTATTTACTTTTCACCCAAGCTCTATGAATTTGAACAGTATCCTCTTATATAACAACTACTTCTGGTTAGATATATGTCTTATTTACTCTTTCTAACACGCTCTGCTAGATATCAATTTACATGTACAGTTGTCTGTATCCATTCCGATTTTAAGTGCTTAAAATGTAGGTTCTTAGTTGTTTGATTCCATGGAACAAATGTCCCAATAATTCAGTTATCTTTGCGACATTTTTGAAGACTTGGAATTAAAAATTCAATGAATAGAAACTGATTTTGCAAGTAATTATGATAGAGCACCTGCAGGAAGTGGGTAATATATACATTTACTTCATAAAAGGTAGACATCAAAATTCAGCAATCCGATAGGAATATTTATGGATCAGAAGCTTCTTTATTTTAATCAACTCAATTAATTGTTCCTAACAAACCTAATATCTAATTTTATATGTATCCCATGTAAGCTAACACAAACAATATTATCCTTTTAATTTCTGGAAGAAGCATGTAAGAATGTAAGATTTAAACATGTCTGCTAAGTTCTATAATTTCATACTTGGGCTAAGACAGCCAGATGTCAGTGTTATTGTTGTATATGTTACAGTTTTAGTCTTGCTTTCTACTACTTTTCAGCTGAGTTTTTACTACCATTGCTTGGAGTGGATTTTGCAGAAGAGGGAGTGAGAAGGTATTTTTCTTCTTTTCATCTTCCCTTCTTTCCTGCATCCCTCCCTCTTCCCACTTTCTCTCCTTCCCTTCTTCATTCCTTGCATTTTCATTTCTGGGGAATAAATTACATACATGGCACTTCTTACATGAGTGAGCTATGCCTATGCCCTTAAAAATTAATTATTAACCAGAAATTAAACTATATTTTACTTATCATTTTCAAAAATCATGCATGGGGAATTTAATTTTACATGGTCTTACATCATCTCTTTCAACCCTATATTTAATTTACAAAAAGTAATAAAACTTTTATTGAAGAGTTTGTAGGGTTATTTATCTTAAAAGGCCCTAGAACAATTGTTCATCATTTTGACTACATAATCTGATTAATTAAAGAGTATACATGTGTTTGCTACACATTGATTTTAATTTTAGATCAGTTACAGAAATTCAAGGTAACTTCTTGTTATTTTCATTCAAGTAGAAAAATTATTAATAAAATATGATAAATATTTTATTTTTAATGTATTGAAAAGTCTTCACTAAATCACACACTATAAAACTTTATTGACATAAACATATTTTTAAGATCATTTTTCCAGAGATTTCCATATAGTGTACAAGTTAAAGAGAAATTTATTCGTGGACTTTGTCTTACATAGAATAATGTGTTTGGGAGGAAGGCTTTCCTAAGCATCTTGGAGTTGGGGTGATAATTACCATTGTTATATCTGCTTCCTGAGTGGACTATGTTGGGGATAAAAGAAGCTAACCAAAAATATGTTATTATTAGATGTTAATGGTATCATGTCTGTTTTATAGTTTATGTGTTTTAATGATAAATTACTGTAAAACGGATTTGATGATATGAACACCTAATAGCAAACAAATAGCTCTTAAATGATTTTTGCCAGGTTGAGGAATAAGTAACCTATGACTCCCAAATAAAAGTAAGAGAAAAAACCGTTCTTATTGTATTTTCTCTTTATCATATTGGAAAAAATTTCACAGTCAAGAAACAACAAAACAAAAAACAAACAACAATTCCCACAACCCAAAACTCGTTTACTCTTTCAGAACTGTGGTCTCATAATGACCAAGGAGTGCTGCTCCACAGCACTCCATTTCCATTTGAGCAGCAGGAGCCATTTAAGAGCGTGCCTCTCTACACTGATACACAGATGGAAAGAGGAAAGCCATTGTATTCCTCTTTGTATATCTTTTCACGAACACCAGTGTTGTCCCCTTGTGGGTTTGTGATACCCTTCATCCTCTCTCTTCGTAACAAGTGTAAATAGGCTTACATTTCATGCCCCAGTCAAATCAATCAAGAAAACAAAACAAAGTCACTCATTGAAAATATATTGGGACGTTAGTGTTGGGTCAGGTTTTCTCTATTTTTAGGACAGCCATAAGGGAAATGTTCCTGGCAGAATCAAAACATATGAGATCAATGGATGCTTTCTTTAAAAAAAGAGAGGCAGTACTCACCTTCATGCCTTCATGCAGAGTTACCGGCTGTCACTGAAAACTAATTGTCATTAAATTCTCCCTTTGAAACATTAAATGGAGTACAAGCATGTTGAAGATTATTGGGAAATTAAAAGCATGACATGTTTGAAACCTGTGATTAATATCACATTTATTGCAAAACTCAGTTAACAGGGCTCTTTGGAAGAAGTTTTATATCATATCAGGTTATTGATGAATAGCAAATTGAAATTTTCATTATGCTGAGATTATATTTAGAGTTAGGGAAAATAATTCGCTATTCATTATTTAACCTCTCCAATGGTAAGTCAAGAACAGTAGTTCTGAAAAGGTACAAATTTTATAAACTTACACAGATAAATCTGCAATTTTTTTTTTTTTTTTTTTTTTTTTTTTTTTTTTACCAAATTTAGTGTAGAAAAGCTTACTTTCATTCCAAGTCTGTCATGTAAAATGGGCAATATATTTTAGGAGAAAAACTCTGAACTGAATGATTACAAATTGAAGTAAAAAATATAGGATACAAAATTGAATTCAAAATTTATTTCTAAATTTGTCTGAGAACTAAAGACTTGTTTGTTTCTGTGACTCAGAAATAAAAATATGCAATATGAGCATAATATTAATAAAGACTTCGCAATATTATTATGAAAATCAAACAAGGTAACACAAGCACAAAAACTTTCATCGGTAAAGCTCAACATAAGCCTTACCAATACCTTCAGTCTGTTTTAGTGACCACAAATGTATGGAATTGGTATTACTAGGACATATTTATAGGATTACATACACTTATAGACTTTAGACTATAATTTTCGTTTGCAGGTCAGTTGTGGCTTTGTTAGTTGGTGTTTCTAATTTTTTATATTTCTTCGAGATACTGAAATGCATTCTAGTCAAAACAGCTTTAAATGGACTAAAAACAAAGACATTTGAGGAAAGTGTTTCTCCTTTCTAATGTAATTCATGTTGCCACGTGAGTAAGATAATATAGTTCAATATTCTGACAAGGAAGAAGAGCTAATATCAACTGGTTATGTAAGCAGACAGAAAACATATAGACACCACCAATACTAGAGGGGAGCTGTCCAGAGAAAAAACAAATGTCCAAAGTACATATAGAATGTATATGGAAATGAGACGATCCAATTTTAAATAACACATGTGTCCAAATAACCAAAAAATTTTAGAAAATATTTTCATTGAATGATTTTTTAAATTCTGTCTATCAGAATTCACGGAATGAAGGTAATGCAGTACTCTTAGAGAAATTTAAGACTTGCAAGATTTATCTTCAGATGAAAGAGGTCCTTAAAATCGATTATCTGATATTTCATTGTAGGATTATAGAGAACAACCAACTGAATCTAGTTAGATAAAGCCAAGAAATAATAAAGATAACAAAAAGCATTAAACAGAAGAATACACCACTTCATGGGTGATGGGTTTAAACATACTCCAAACCTCAGCGTCATGCACTATACCTTTGTAACAAACCTGCAATTGTACCCCCCGAATCTAAAATAAAAGTTGAAAAAATTACAGAAATTAATAACACCCAACAAGGGTTTTTGAGAATATTAAAACTGAAAAAGATATATGTAAAATGATGAATGGAAAAAGAAAAAAATACCATTAACAGTAAGGAAATAACTTTTTAATATTGTTTCGTAAGCACTCATAAAATGATGACAAAATATGACTAACTTTGTATCGTTGAATTTCTCAATTTTAGTGTGGTAAACAAATTCCTTGAAAGATATAACTTAACAAATTAGACTCAAGAATATATTGCATATATAAACGGCTTTCTTTTATTAGAGTAATTACATTCATAAATAAAACCTTCCTCTTCCCTTCCCAATAAAACTTTCAGCACCAGGTGGTTTTATTGATGAATCCTATTTAACATGTAATAAAGATATAATAACAATCTTACATAAATTTTGGGGAAAATAAGAGCAAATTCTTTTCAACTTACTTTATAAACTAAGATATTAATACCAAAACTGCAAAAAAAAAAAAAAGAAACACTAAGAAATGACAAAAGCCACTAAGAAATGAAACCACAAGTTTGTTAATTAAAAGGATAAACAAGATTGATAGAGTAACTAGCTAGATCAATGGTCCCCTACCTTTTTGGCACAAAAGATCGGTTTTGTGAAAGACAATTTTTCAAGGATTGGAGAGAAAGTGAGTGGGGTTTGTGATGAAACTGTTCCACATCAGATCATCAGGCATTAGTTAGATTCTCATAAGGAGTGCACAACCTAGATCCCTCATGTGCGCAGTTCACAGCAGGGTTCACGATCCTATGAGAATCTAATGCTGCTGCTGATCTGACAGGAGGCGGAGCTCAGGTGGTGATGTTCACTTGCCCCCACACTCATCCCCGGCTGTGCAGCCTGATTCTTAACTGGTTGGGGACCTCTGAGCTAGATTATCAAAGAAAACAAGAGAGAGGATCAAAATATGGACATTCGGAAACGACAAAAGTGAAATTATGACTGATAACGCAGAAATACAAAATATCCTCAGAGACTATTATGAATACCACTATGCACATAAACTAAAAATCAAGAAAATATGAATAGATTCCTGGAAATACAGTCTCCCAAGATTGAATCAAGAAAAATTGAAACCCCAAACAGATCAATATCATGTTCTAAAATGAAATCAGTTAAAAAAAAACAAAAAAAAAGCTACCAACCATACCATGTAAAGCACTGGACCAGATGGATTTACAGCCAAATTCTACCAAATGGGCAAAGAAGAGCTGGTACCAACTGTATTGAAACTATTTCAAAAAACTGAGCAAGAGGGTCTCCTCCTTAACTAATTCTATGAGGCCAGCACCACCCTGATATCAAAATCTGGCCAACACACGATAAAAAAGAAAACTGAAGGTCAATATCCCTAATGAACATAAATGCAAAATTCTCAACAAAATACTAACAAACTGAATCCAGCAGCAAGTCAAAAAGGTAATTCACCACAATTAAGTTGACTTTATTTCTGTGATGCAGGGTTGGTTCAACATACAAAAGTTAATAAATGGGACTACCACATGAACAGACTTAAAAACAAAAATTGAATCACCATCTCAGTAGACACAGGAAAAGTCTTCAATAAAATCCAGCATTCCTTCACACACAAAAAAACCCTCATGAAACTGGGCATCAATGGAACATACTCCAAAATAGTGAAAGTCATCTACGGCAGATATACAACCAACAGCAAACTGTATGTGCAAAAGCTGGAAGCATTACCATTGACAATTGGAAAAAGACAAGGATGCCTAGTCTCACCACTCTGCTTCAACATAATACTGGAGGTCTTAGAGCAATCTGTAAAGAGAAAGAAACAAAAGTCATCTGAATAGGAAAAGATGATGTCAAATTATTTCTCAACATATGATGTGCTTCTATATGTAAAAAACCTGAAGGATTCTGCCAGAAGGCTCCTGGAACCAATAAATGACTTTAGTTAAGTTTCAAAAAACAAAATCAAAGTACAAAAATCAGTAGCATTTCTGTACACCAGTAATCTTCATACTGAGAGCCAAATCAAAAATAGAATATCATTTACAATGGTGACAAAAATAAAATAAAATAAGTTACC